GTACTACCTATACTGTGTATATGCTACGGTGGACCTGGCCCTGAATCTGGCCTGTGCTACGATGGAACCGAACAGGGTAGATTTCTCCTACAAAGGTTCTGCTACATGCTAAAGGTGGACCATCTTCCCCAGTTGGCCGCAAGGTGCAGCACTTTCGAAGTGGTCTCACGAGAGAACAAAGGCATGAGCACTCTCAGTTTCTCTCTGTGTTTATATAGTCAAAGTCTTCAACAGAGTTTCTCTCTGTCTTCAACAGCTGTTCGAGAGCGAATGTTTTCACGACGGTTGATAGAGGGGCCAGCATTCAAATTTCCACAGTGACTGTTGTGTTCGAAACCGAAGCTTCGGATTCTTGTGTCGCGGATAATAGTTCCCGAGCTCTGATCGAGTGTCCTTCGCTCCAGAATGGCACAGAATATAAATCCGTTCTATTCGTCGCAGAATGCTCCGAGTAAAGCTACCGAGGAAAAGCAAAATGTACCGAAAGACAACCACGCAGTCAGTAAACGGTACGTTGACTCAGTCGAATACGATGAACTCGTTGTCAATTCAGCTCTACGTGCACTTCTGCGTTCGTCATCGTATCGTTTTATTCATCTCTGCTCGTGCTCTCGTCGAAGAGCATCGAGCATACTCTTCGTCGCGATGGTCTACACATAACCTATCCGCAATATTTGGGCGAACGATTTGAAATTAGCCCGTCCCGAAGTTGCGAATGCCAGCCAGTCAAGGAAGATCTACTTCTAATCGAATTTCATTTACGCAGACTGCAGAAGGAACTTATGGTCTTGATGATGAACACGGAGAAAGGTGTTTCCGCCTTTCCGGACGGAGAGAATCTGTTCAAATGGATAGGAACTATCACGGGACCAACGGACACGGTAAACGTCTATGCCTCTACGATCCTCTCGAACACGTGCAATGACTCTTCATTTGTTTGTTGCAACAGGTTTACGCCGGACTCACGTACAAATTAACTTTAGAATTTCCCCACAGTTACCCATACAGCGCACCGATAGTACGATTCGTTACTCCCTGCTTCCACCCGAACGTGGACGCAGTGGGTAACATTTGCTTGGACATACTGAAAGACAAGTGGAGCGCTTTGTACGATGTGCGGACCATATTGTTGTCCATACAATCTCTCCTCAGTGGTAAGTAAGAACGACTCGGTACCTGAACGACCAGGAAAACAATGGGAAAAAGGTGGAGATCTGAAGAACGTTGTCTTCTTGTTCTCTAGAGCCTAACAACGAGAGTCCACTGAATCCACAGGCGGCCAAGCTGTGGCACGAGCCGGCAAAGTACAAGAAACATTTAACGGAGGAGTATCACAGAACTGTGAGTCGCGAACAGCAAGACTCATGATAAGTGTACTTCTCTAATTATCATGGCTTGTTCATCGATTCATTTCTATAAATGTTACGATACGATTAGGTATAAGGTATATAAGAGCAAACTGCACCAAACTTATTCAGATGTACTTCGTTACAAAGGATCGAGACTCCCGTTTTCTATTCTTCACACGTTTCACATCGTTCACCGCGGTCATTTTCTTTTTCTTTCTTTATCAACGTAATTTCGTCTCGAGAGCATGTGTAGAAATCTGTATCACGACTTTAAAAATGTACATGCGTATTAAACATTTTTGCATCGTCACTCTCGACCAGACATCCTTATTTATTTTTTGGACGATGTATATTGATCTTGACCCGTGCAAACGAGTCCTACTGGCATAGACGTTACGTTATCGACGATCATTGTATATTTTGACAATAAAAATTTTAAACATTATTCCCCGTGATTTAATTGTCGTCGCTCTTAATCCCTGTCAACGTTCCCGAGCACGTGCGATTACCCGAATGCAGATCACGACGAGAATAAAGGAGAAACCAGCGGATTCGTACGTACACGACCGGAGATCGTTTGGCGATTTCAGCGGTTTCATCCACACTGTATTTCGCGGTATTTCAGTCACGTGAACAATATTGTGCGAAATCGGACTGGTGGGGTCTGGACCCGTGGACCGAGCATCGATATAAGCAAGAAAACAAGTAGCCATGCTGCTCAAGCTATTTCGTAATTCCGCAAATAATATACCGTTTTATATAGGCGGCATTTCACTTCGATGGAACATGAGCAAGAGATCGTTCTCGACGGATCGAAGTACGATGCCAGAGGTAACGTATGCACGTGTATGTAGATAGTACACTTTGATCGGGACAAGTGGAATACGGTCGATTTGTCGGCAGGAACAAAAGGTCAACGTCGATGGAGTGAACATCAATTGTCTGCGAGTTGGAACCGGTGAACATCCGGTGCTACTCTTACCGGGAGCAGCAGGTGAGTGATTTCGCGAAATTGTTGCCGAAACAGAGATCAGTGGTCTGCAAGTCTGCACTCCTCTGCTCACATCGTTCGGCGCAGATTTCGCCTTGAAGGTGCTGCTACCTAGTAGATTCGATCGCAATTGATAAAAAATTACGTAAGGTCGAGGATTCGAAGATAAGATGAGGCAGCGTTTAACTGCAATGTCGTAGGTTCGATATGGACGGATTTCAAACCACAGATAGAAGGTCTGTCGAGAGAAAAATTTACCGTGGTCGCTTGGGACCCGCCGGGCTATGGAAAGTCGAGGCCGCCCGATAGGACGTTTCCCGATGACTTTTTCCAGCGCGACGCGGACTGGGCTTGCAATCTGATGAAGACTCTCGGCCACAGCAAATTTTCATTGATAGGATGGAGCGACGGCGCTATCACTTCTCTCATGATAGCTGCGATGTTTCCCGGCAACATTCGAAAGATGATAGCCGTCGCCGGGAACGCCTATATAACGCCTGAGGAAGTCGATATCTACAAAAGTAAAATCTATCTCTTTGCGTATCTCTATGATCTATTCATTGTCTGATCTGGTCGATGGAACAGAATTTCGGGACATCGATTCCTGGTCCGAGAAAATGCGTGCGCCGATGATCGCCATCTACGGGGAGGAGTATTTTCGCAAGATATGGACCGGCTGGGTAGATTCTGTCCTAAGGATCTACGAGAAGCAGAACGGCAACTTGTGCAAAGAGATGGTGCCGAAGATCAAATGTCCCACTTTGATCGTCCAAGGAGCCAAAGATGCCATGGTACTCCCTGAACATCCGACTTACTTGAAGGACAGTATAGTTGGAGCAAAGTTCGTACCATTTGCTCAGCAAACGATCGTCGAATCGCCGCTGTTTCGATTTAATCGAGCGAAAACCGTTTCAGATTGAAGATCTTCGAGAAGGGGGCACACAACTTGCACCTACGGTATCCGGAAGAATTCAACGATCTCGCTACCAAGTTCCTCATCGAATAATCCATGTATACTTAATCCATTGTCTCTACCGTTTTGTTAAATTTTTATACACCCACGTGAAACGTAATGTAAAATAAAAGTGTCTCGATACACGATGAACGAACGATCCTTATTTATTCAGACGCGTTGAACGCATGACGCAGCCGAGAGATCAGACGGGTAACGTGGGATAACCGGAACGCCGGCACAGATAATCCAGTCGGAGAAAGGAACCATGGCTATGAAACCGAGTGGGCGACGAAGGTTTCTCGTGGGCTTACCTCGCTCGGCAAAGGATGTTTCCGAAAACGTTTCCTCTCTCGAACAGACTCTCGTTACTCGAAATAGAATAAGTTCGACATTCGAGCGAATACCATAGGTAAAATCGAACACGGACGTAGCAGGAAAGACCGCCCATGTCCGCAATGCGCTTCGTACGAAAATCGATCTGTTCATGGTCTCGGTTACGCCCAGAGAACCATTCGCTGGGAAGCAGTCGCGAACACTTCGGGTCAGTGATGGGTTTTCGACTTCCCGAACAGCACTCAAAATTGCAACAACGTATCTTCAACTGTGTCACATTGCAATTGCCGTACAACGTTACTGTAACATTCCAACAATAGTGCGTTGTATACGTTGCAATACAACATTATAGTAACGTTACAGTAACGTTTCTCACGATTTTTATGTAATTATTACGTCCATATTATTGGGAACATATAATACAGGGTGGTCCACGCAACATGTGCACGTGGATTTTAGTATGATACTTTTTAAGGTATAATCTTTCAAAAAATTGCAGAAAGAAAAAATCGTTTGGCGATTTCAGCGGCTTCATCCACACTGTATTTCGCGGTATTTCAGTCACGTGAACAATATTGTGCGAAATCGGACTGGTGGGATCTGGACCCGTGGACCGAGCATCGATATAAGCAAGAAAACAAGTAGCCATGCTGCTCAAGCTATTTCGTAATTCCGCAAATAATATACCGTTTTATATAGGCGGCATTTCACTTCGATGGAACATGAGCAAGAGATCGTTCTCGACGGATCGAAGTACGATGCCAGAGGTAACGTATGCACGTGTATGTAGATAGTACACTTTGATCGGGACAAGTGGAATACGGTCGATTTGTCGGCAGGAACAAAAGGTCAACGTCGATGGAGTGAACATCAATTGTCTGCGAGTTGGAACCGGTGAACATCCGGTGCTACTCTTACCGGGAGCAGCAGGTGAGTGATTTCGCGAAATTGTTGCCGAAACAGAGATCAGTGGTCTGCAAGTCTGCACTCCTCTGCTCACATCGTTCGGCGCAGATTTCGCCTTGAAGGTGCTGCTACCTAGTAGATTCGATCGCAATTGATAAAAAATTACGTAAGGTCGAGGATTCGAAGATAAGATGAGGCAGCGTTTAACTGCAATGTCGTAGGTTCGATATGGACGGATTTCAAACCACAGATAGAAGGTCTGTCGAGAGAAAAATTTACCGTGGTCGCTTGGGACCCGCCGGGCTATGGAAAGTCGAGGCCGCCCGATAGGACGTTTCCCGATGACTTTTTCCAGCGCGACGCGGACTGGGCTTGCAATCTGATGAAGACTCTCGGCCACAGCAAATTTTCATTGATAGGATGGAGCGACGGCGCTATCACTTCTCTCATGATAGCTGCGATGTTTCCCGGCAACATTCGAAAGATGATAGCCGTCGTCGGGAACGCCTATATAACGCCTGAGGAAGTCGATATCTACAAAAGTAAAATCTATCTCTTTGCGTATCTCTATGATCTATTCATTGTCTGATCTGGTCGATGGAACAGAATTTCGGGACATCGATTCCTGGTCCGAGAAAATGCGTGCGCCGATGATCGCCATCTACGGGGAGGAGTATTTTCGCAAGATATGGACCGGCTGGGTAGATTCTGTCCTAAGGATCTACGAGAAGCAGAACGGCAACTTGTGCAAAGAGATGGTGCCGAAGATCAAATGTCCCACTTTGATCGTCCAAGGAGCCAAAGATGCCATGGTACTCCCTGAACATCCGACTTACTTGAAGGACAGTATAGTTGGAGCAAAGTTCGTACCATTTGCTCAGCAAACGATCGTCGAATCGCCGCTGTTTCGATTTAATCGAGCGAAAACCGTTTCAGATTGAAGATCTTCGAGAAGGGGGCACACAACTTGCACCTACGGTATCCGGAAGAATTCAACGATCTCGCTACCAAGTTCCTCATCGAATAATCCATGTATACTTAATCCATTGTCTCTACCGTTTTGTTAAATTTTTATACACCCACGTGAAACGTAATGTAAAATAAAAGTGTCTCGATACACGATGAACGAACGATCCTTATTTATTCAGACGCGTTGAACGCATGACGCAGCCGAGAGATCAGACGGGTAACGTGGGATAACCGGAACGCCGGCACAGATAATCCAGTCGGAGAAAGGAACCATGGCTATGAAACCGAGTGGGCGACGAAGGTTTCTCGTGGGCTTACCTCGCTCGGCAAAGGATGTTTCCGAAAACGTTTCCTCTCTCGAACAGACTCTCGTTACTCGAAATAGAATAAGTTCGACATTCGAGCGAATACCATAGGTAAAATCGAACACGGACGTAGCAGGAAAGACCGCCCATGTCCGCAATGCGCTTCGTACGAAAATCGATCTGTTCATGGTCTCGGTTACGCCCAGAGAACCATTCGCTGGGAAGCAGTCGCGAACACTTCGGGTCAGTGATGGGTTTTCGACTTCCCGAACAGCACTCAAAATTGCAACAACGTATCTTCAACTGTGTCACATTGCAATTGCCGTACAACGTTACTGTAACATTCCAACAATAGTGCGTTGTATACGTTGCAATACAACATTATAGTAACGTTACAGTAACGTTTCTCACGATTTTTATGTAATTATTACGTCCATATTATTGGGAACATATAATACAGGGTGGTCCACGCAACATGTGCACGTGGATTTTAGTATGATACTTTTTAAGGTATAATCTTTCAAAAAATTGCAGAAAGAAAAAATCGATTTTTTGAAAATTTCGCACTGGGTAGGCTTCTTGCGGAAATCTGTGATATAAGATTGAAACTCCAACTTGATATTACGCGAAGAAAATTGTGAAGTATTAAAGTGAAATTACTCGTTAGCTATTAGGTTTACGGCTAATAACGGTCAATAGTTTTTTTACTTAGAATTCGATACTCTATCATATTTTGGTATAAAAAATATAGTATTCTGTTTAAAAAAAACAAAGTTGACCTTCAAATCTCCGAAACGCCTCTACCTATAAAAAAAATTAACGCACTACATAGTGTACCCTTTTAAACCATATAACTTTTGTATATAACATTCTTTCGTGCAACGCATATTTTGGAAGTTATAACTGTGCACACGTTGTGTGGACCACCCTGTATAATTAATCATAAAGAAGATTATAATCATAATTACAATGATAACGTAAAGAAATTATAGAAATGCCATCTGTACTTTCAGTAATTCTTTCGTGGCAATTCTGCAGCAGTATTGTTTGAAATATTGCGATCTTGCAGAACAATATTTTTGCAACGTTTGCTGCTATATTGAGTGCTGTTGGGGTCGTGTCATCAGTTTTCTACTTGGTTTGTAGAAAACCTGTAGATATCTTATAATACGTTTATAAATCGACTTGTATCCCACATATGTATAAAACATTCCTGAATTCCTCTTGAGAACACATGAAGAAGGTGTATTTCAACGGAAGCAACCCGAAAATATAGCTCGACAGAGTATTTCTGAGGGATACTTGGGGATATAGGCGCCCTTTCTAGGTACGTTCGGCTTAAACTGCTATAAGTTGACTTGTATCCCACATATGTGTGAAACATTCCTGAATTCCTCTTGGAAACACTTGCTTAATGTCGAGTGTATTGATGTTTTAAAGCGCTTATCTTAGTCGTGCAGAGTGCGTCTGATTACGTCATTAACGTCGAAAACTGGCCGAAAACTGGTCGAAAACAACGTTTTCGACATTAATGACGTAATCAGACGTAACTTACACGACTGAGGCATATCTACAAATTTTCTACAAACTAAGTAGAAAACTGGTGACATGAGTTGAGAGCCCATCACTGCTTCGGGTACTCGTTTCTCGTCGCACCTTCTCTTTTCTTTCCAAAGTAAATGAAAATAGATGAGCGGGCAAAACGTTCGAACGTGGAGATTCGCGTCGAGATGCTGTCTGCGAATCTGTACTCACGAATAGAAAGTACCATTTGTGCCACTTACATACATACGTACATACATATATATGTACACATGTAAGTGCGTGGCATCGACGAGTTACGGTCGAGATGAAGAAGAGCCGTACGATCGAGCAGAACGCTCATGTTCGAGTGTAGTACACTGACCCGTTCCTATCGAACGCGAGCAGACCCGAGACTGCATAACGTTCGGAGTGATATACACGGTAATGAAACGGCCCCGATCGAATCGCGTTACACAAGTTAGATCGTTATAAGAAAATGGATAGCCGAGGTGACACATAAAATGCGGCGGCCGTGCCCAAATATGGGCACTACAGACTACTTCGCGATTCGATCGTGCGAACCTCTCCTTATTCTTTCCATTGTGGCCTCCGTCGTTTTCCCTTTTCCCCGACGAACGTTTCACGAGATACGTACGTACGCACGCGTCCATCGGAGAGCGTTTCTCTGAACGTTCCTTTTTTCGATAAGAATCGATGCTTCTGATAATAATAATTATAGAGACTAGATCGAGATCGGGAGAGGAACCGTCGAATGAGTCACGATCACTGTCGATGCGACGTACCCACGGGCCGTTTTCCAAAGTAGAGAACGACACCATTTACGGCAGCTTGTCGTTGCTCGTTCTCGGACCAGTTATCTCTCTGGTGATCGTTCGAGAAAGTGGTCGTGTGTCAAAACGATGTCCTCGATCTGTACGCGACTCGGCCACCCCCACTGAATCCTGCGAAGCTTTTGAAACGCACCGGGACCCTCGCACGAGACACGATGAACTGTATCGCTTTCCAGCGCGATGATCTTGGAAATTGAGACGCGTCGATACGGATATACGCCTGCGGAAATATTTAGACGTATGTATGTACGCGTTACGTGCATTTGCCGCACGCGACGTCCTCGAGATCAATAAAAGTCAAGGCGGGGCAAGGTTTGGCTTGGCCCGGTGTGACCGTCGCCGTCGTTCCGAGTCGATTCTCTCGGCTAGTCGCCTGCTCGTTACCAACGATGCACCTATCCCGTCCTATGTATAATCATCGGCAAAATCACATCGAAACCCACCCTCTTTCTCTTGGCCGTGCGATCAACAGAAACGAATTGTGTCCATCGACTCGCGCGAGCGTAAGGAGAACCCATGGACCTATGGGGGAACCATTGTTGTCAATGACGGAGGAAGCTCACAGAAAATAAATTACGTCCGGCGGAAAATAAGTTTTACGAGACCGGCGAAATGGTTTCAACGACGAAGAGAAATTGTAGGTGCGCCGGGTGATCGATAGCATCGTGCAGCTACCCCGTTGACATGCGTAAAACGTTGCTACCGGCAGAGGACATCGTTTCAATCGCGATTTAGAATAAGAGATACGCTCGAAGATCATTTTGGTACGAAATAAATTGAACCGATCGATTGCCGGATATCTTTCGATCTAGCTTAGTCGTCGTCGTCGCTGCCGACACGATAAGCGAGAAAGCCTTACTTTCCTGACGAAACGCGAACGTCGTCTGAAATAGGTATGATGTCAGCGAGAGTTTATTCCCGCTGTTAATCGTACGGGCAATGAAGGACGATCAAAGCAGATGACTATCGATACACAGTACTTCTCTGTCATCCTTGCCCTTCACCCCTTTTACACCTCGTATCGAGCGCTAGCGAAACGGTCAAATGTGCATCCTCCGCTGTACGCGAGGAGCTTGTAAAAGACGAGAAGCATTTAGCGTTCCAACCGGAAGCAGACCAGGCTTAGAACTCACGTATGCACACCGCTGATAAATATGATTGTTCCCCCGTTATTGGCAGGCCCGTTACATGGACGTACCGCGACGCGTGTCCACCGATGCGAGCCAATATTTGCGCACACTCGGATGCGCGGGCGATGATCGTAGATGACTTTTTTTCTTCGAAACGAAGACCGACTGATCCCATACATGGTAACGGTGAGAAGATTGGCTTACGGCTCACGCGGTGCAATGCTGTAACCCACCTTACCTGATCTCTCCTGTCCTGTCCTCTGCTCCTCTCCTATCCTGTTCCTCTCTCCTGCCTCTCCTGCCTGGAAGTAAACGCGTAACGTCCTATCTATAATTTCACGTACGTATACGTAATTTTCTTCTATCTACGCGCCAAATGAACCGATCCGGACGTTCATTTGTTTCGTCGCTCTAATCTACAAATTGATCGTTGTACATCTGATTGCGAAAGACGACGCATTTTTCATTGGACCCGCGATATTTGGCTGGGTGTGTGCCGTTGCCGTAGTGCCGTCCCGGTGACTCATCGCGTATCGACTTTTTCCAAGCAGACTACGGACGAGCGGGGTGGGTTCAATTGTAAAACCTGAGCTATACGTATACTAAGTCTGTCTTACATACAAGTCAAGTATGGAGAACGTTCTGATAAAATAATGCGGATGTTCACAAGAGACGATACGTTCGTGGTATCGCCGCTTCGAGAAGAAAGCTAACATATTTATAATCGTAGCCGCGCTGGAAGTTAGGAGGGCAGATGTCGTAGCATTGTAGCAACCGCGCGCGCATGTATGTGTGTAGGAAGCAGATGTACCGTAATTCATCGGTACCCACTGCCCTATTAGCATGACAATGACGCATTCGACGACGTTCGTATCGGAAATTTTAGCTTCGTCGACGAACGTACTCGGCGAACGCATTCGAAAACGTAAATTAAATGCATTTACAGGTACGTACGTACGTATGCCGGCGTACGTGTATACATAGGTACGTCTGTATGTGTACAGGTTGCCTATTGCCTGGGTACTGGATAGCGAACGTAACCATAGCGGCGCGATTATGCGTGGAATATAGTTGAACAAAGTAGATCGTATAATTAAATCTCTCTAACGTAGAAATGATCGATCCTTACCGAGAGAGGATCGAGCTGGAGAGGGAGGCTGGGATTGTGGGTTGAGGTGTTCGGCTTGCACGTTTGATGAATCGAAATTTTCAACGATGTCACGTATCCGCAGAAACTGGGATCTGGCCCGCGTCGACGCAGAAACGAGATCCTGAGGACAGTTGGTAACGCTGTGGACGCTGGGTGGCGAGAAGGCTGCGGGGTCCGGGTGGCGACCAATAGGGAACGGTGCTCGAGCTATCCCCCGTCGCCCCACTGTATCCCCGTAGAAGCTTGAAAATCTGTAACGGACGCCGCCGTCGGGGCATATTCGTTGCTGGGCTCTCGTGGCGAGTAAGCGTGTACGTCGTCTTTCATTCGATAATCGCAGTAATCTCCGAAAAGGTTCGACAAACTACCGAGCAACATGAGGGAAATCGTTCATATTCAAGCCGGCCAGTGCGGCAACCAAATTGGCGCAAAGGTAAGCGATGAGAATTGTTGGAAATAACAATCGAATTCGACGGCACCGCGTGCAACACTCCTTTGTTCGGCGTCGTTTGTCGGCCGGTGGTAACGATTCGAGCGGAATCTCGGTATTCGCTAAAAAACTGTTATCGTGATAGCGTCGAATCACTTCGAGTCTGTGAACAAACGAACGCGATGAGCAGGCTTCTCGTTTTCCAAGCGCGTCGCGTGCGTACTTCGTTTCGAGGAGTAACTGTCGTGACGCTACGTGGTTCAGAGATTTGTAGAGACGTACCTAGTGAACTATTTCGGTCGGAGGAATTGCGTCGAACGAACACGGCTCGTTACGTGGCACGGTTGGCACGCGAAAAAACAGCAGCCTCGTCGACGGTCGAAGACCTGTCATGGCGACAGAAACTTCGCCGGCCGGCGAGTATTCTTAACGGTCTCTTTTCCTGTCGGCGCAGTCCAACGAAGCGTTGTCGTCAAGCGTACGGATATTCGCTTCGCGTTCGTACTTTTCGATCCATCTCTTCTTCCGGCACGGCTACAGACGTTTCGAGATGAAAGTAGCGAAAAGTATGCATCGTTTAATTATAAATTTGTTAAGCGTCTCGCGTAAACTTTGAGCCTGGGCGTGGCCTACCTATGGCGTCAAGATACATCGGTTGATGCGGCAACGGAATCGAGCGATTGCGCGCGCAATCGACACGGTTCTCTTTCTCTATCTCCCTCTCTCCCTGTGTACCGTTTCGATTTTCTTGCCCACGAATTCTTTGCTCGTATCGTTCGTTTGGTTTTTCTACACGAGTCTAAATACACTTATTGGATGCAAACCGCTGTCCCTGGCTCTGAACCGCGACGCATAGATCGATCGAAACGAATAAAAACGAAATTGCTGATTGACCAGGAGGAAATCACGAAATCCATGTCTCGATCTACGCGATTGACGTTTCGAGCACGTAGCGAACGATGCAGCTGCTGTCACGCTCTCATAGTTTTCAAGGTTGCGTATCTCCTGCGCTCGACGCCCGTTTCCCGAATTACCCATCTGGATCCGTACATTCATATTATTCCTGTTTCAACGAGAGTATTTTGTCGTAGATATATGACGAGCGTGATCCTTCGGCCGGTGCACGTAGACTTGTGCAACAGTTGTTACCTCATTCAGAAATCTCGCGATCCAAGGACGGATCGCGTGTTGCGTAGCGGCGGCGAAACGTCTCCAAATACAGAAAGAAGATATCCTTTCGCCATTTTCTTTCGCGTCGCGCTGCTCGCTTTCGAGTCGCCACTTTACGTTGGCAGCGGCACGCTCGACCGCTCGTTATGACCAGGTGCATCGATTGAATTCGATCCCTCCGGGTTTAAATTGTAAAACGACGCTAGGTCGTCCTTTCATCGTAGGTACATTACATTATTTAGTATTCGATCAAATTCTTGCACACGTAATCAATTCCACGAAATTGTTCAACCGTCGTATATCGCCGTACCGGTGATATCAGAACTGAGTAATTTTTGTTATCGTCGTTTCGGACACTTGTTTTTTTTTACATTCGTCTCTCTAATCTTGACGTTCGACGCGTCATCGTAATTCGATGAATTCAGTCAACGATGTTTTCATTTTTGCCGAGCTGAACGAGGTCTAATGAGTAAATTAAAAAATGTAGCGCGCGGAATCGCTGGGCGAGGTGGCTGGTAAACAAAAATCAGGAGTGCATAGGCCGGGCGTACTGTCTTATGCTAATTAAGCGAGATTGGCATCGCGTCGCAGCAGTCATTTCTAAATATAGCGATGACATTGGTGACTCATCTCGGTGCGACATTATACGTATGTACATCGGGTGTACGGATCGGTGGTGGTGGTGAGAGCCAGTAAGTAATGTTGGACAACACTCGCTTCCATAGCTAGAGCGATGGTCGTATATGGCCATACGGCTTTATGTATGTACGTACGTAGGACGTAGGACCCCGTGGGCGTACCACAATTAATGTTAACCGCGGCTATGATTGTCGAGCAACTCGATCGAATTCGTTCGCTCACGGCGCGAAGATATACGTAGTGCTACGTACGAGGGCCATCAACGACAATTTAGTCGTTCGCGCGTGAAACGTGGTGGCAAATACACTTTGCTTCTCGCTCATCGAGGTACTCGATATATTCTGCGTTGGGATATCTGCGCCCGCTGTTCGTTCGATAGGGGAAACGCAACTGCTGCTGCTGCTGCTGCTGCTGCTGCTAGCCGGTGTGTAGTTGCTCGGACGGATGATCGCAACGATCCGCGCTCGAACGATTCATTCGGGCTGAAAAGGAGGGAAAAAGAGCGGTGAGAGGAGAACGTCCATCCTGGCCGGCAGCGGCGGCGGCGAGATTTTAATGAACGCGCGTATTACGACTAATTACACGCGAGCTATTCACCGACGGGCGAGGTCGTCGAACCGTTCTCTCGGTCGATAATACTCGCGTTCGTCGAGCAGCAAGGAGCGAAACGATATTAACGAACGCGAATCGTCTTGTTACAGTTTTGGGAAATAATCAGCGACGAGCATGGCATCGACCCAACTGGCACTTATCACGGCGACTCCGACCTGCAGTTGGAGAGAATCAACGTGTACTACAACGAAGCATCCGGCGGAAAATATGTGCCGCGTGCCATTCTCGTCGACCTGGAGCCGGGAACGATGGACTCCGTTCGCTCGGGACCCTTCGGACAGATTTTCAGACCCGACAACTTCGTCTTCGGTCAATCCGGAGCTGGCAATAACTGGGCGAAAGGACATTACACCGAGGGCGCCGAGTTGGTCGACTCCGTCCTCGATGTGGTCAGGAAAGAGGCCGAGAGCTGCGACTGCCTGCAAGGATTCCAGCTGACCCATTCCCTTGGCGGCGGTACCGGATCCGGCATGGGCACTCTGCTCATCTCGAAGATCCGCGAGGAATACCCCGACAGAATTATGAACACGTACTCGGTCGTACCGTCTCCCAAAGTATCCGACACCGTCGTCGAACCGTACAACGCGACGCTCTCCGTTCATCAGCTGGTCGAGAACACGGACGAGACTTACTGCATCGACAACGAAGCCCTTTACGATATTTGCTTCCGCACTCTGAAACTGTCGACGCCTACGTACGGTGACTTGAACCATCTCGTCTCCCTCACAATGTCCGGTGTCACCACCTGCCTCAGGTTCCCCGGTCAGTTGAACGCTGATCTGAGGAAACTCGCCGTAAACATGGTACCGTTCCCTCGTCTCCACTTCTTCATGCCAGGCTTCGCGCCTCTCACATCCCGCGGCAGCCAGCAGTACAGAGCACTCTCCGTGCCGGAGCTCACCCAGCAAATGTTCGACGCGAAGAACATGATGGCCGCTTGCGATCCCAGGCACGGAAGGTACCTCACGGTAGCAGCCATCTTCCGTGGCAGAATGTCGATGAAGGAGGTCGACGAGCAGATGCTCAACATTCAGAACAAGAACAGCTCCTACTTCGTCGAATGGATCCCGAACAACGTGAAGACCGCCGTCTGCGACATCCCACCCCGCGGCCTGAAGATGTCCGCCACCTTCATCGGCAATTCCACCGCCATCCAGGAACTGTTCAAGCGAATCTCCGAACAGTTCACCGCCATGTTCAGGAGAAAAGCTTTCCTTCATTGGTACACCGGCGAAGGTATGGACGAGATGGAATTCACCGAGGCCGAATCGAACATGAACGACCTGGTGTCCGAGTATCAGCAATACCAGGAGGCTACTGCCGACGAAGACGCCGAATTCGACGAGGAACAGGAAGCAGAGGTCGACGAGAACTAAGCATCTACGCTCTTCGCTATACGTACTATCTACTATCGTCAACCCTTCGTCGATGTCTCTCTCTCTTTCTCTCTGTTTGTTCTTAGATAGCTTTTTAATTCTGCGTTTCTCTCCGCGTTTCTTGTCGCCGGTCACTTCTTTCTTCTTTTTTATTCTTTTTTTACAATCAGTTCAGGCGCGTTTCATCACGATCAATAGTACGGTGACGTCTCCTTCTGAAAAATTGTGTACGTTAAATCGTCTCTTGTTTCTGTATCATTCGTTTCCTTTAATTAATGAGACGCGTCGTAATATCCAATGTATAACCGCTGATGCGGCCACGATCATCTTTGAATAAATTATTATCATATAAATACGATTTCCAGTGAGTTCCTTAGTCCTTGTCAACTGCCCGAGCGTGTTCACCGATCTGATTAATTATACGTAAATACGCACCTACTAGCGTAAGCGAGACGAGACGACCTGCCGAAGTAGACGGAATCGCTGAACGAGTGGGCGAGGGGAGGAAACGCGCATTGTCGCGGTGTTGGATTTTCTTTCAGGCGAGCCGAACCAGCGGCGCGGCATACGAAATGTGAATCATCGGCCGTACGAGCGACGACAGGAGGAGGCGTCTGTCTCGGTCCGTGAATTCGATCCAAGTGGAGAGACCGTGTCGCTGCTAATTACCAACCGTATTTTCACTCCGTCCCATGAAACAAAGCGTGGACTATAACAATAAGGCACCGGAAGCGAAGATAACGTTTACCGTTTTCCGATCGATACGCCGATGCAGGCGTCGACAGAGGCGGGTTTCGCGAATCGCGAGCAAACCAACAAGTCGGTTTCGAACGAGCATGGAAACGGAACAAAGAGCAGGGCCAGGGTGAGCTTAGCAGCGAGTTACGATAATAGAAAAAGGGATTCACGACGGCAGGGGATCGTGGAACAGTAGCACAGCTGGAGACGTTTCGTCTCTCCCTTATCGCTACCCCCTTCGACCACGAAGACAGCCGCGCGATGCTTCGAGAGTGACTCACGAGCCCTGTTTAGCATACGAATGGTTTTCTCCCTTTTTCGGGAGGCGTGCGCATATTTCATCCAAACTATAGTGACGCGCGACGCTCTCGTCCGAGGGGTACGCGCGAGGAATTTTCAAATCGTCGAATCGGTCATCGTATCTTCTGTCTCCGAATTTCATGCGGTGGAGTCAGGTTCCTGATGATCGGCCGGAAAACAGGATGCGCATCGCTTTCCGGTCCTCCTCGTTTCTTTTTTTTTTTAGAGAAGCGAAGACCTTCCAGGCCCGGAAACGACACGTATGGGCCGAACGTGAATCATCAAGGCAACATAATTTGGGGTAAAATAGATAGGGTGTCGTTGCGGGGTATCGAACGCGATCGAGCTTGTATCCTGGACTGTCCTGGAGGCTGTTCCTCGGTCGCATGTTCTCGGCACGCCGCCGCCGGTTGGAGAATCTTCTCCCCCTCCGCGTGGTCTGCGGGCTTTGGCTCGGCGGGACCGAGCGGAGCGGAGCGAAGAGTCGACCTCAGGACATCGACACGAGCGCGTTTCCTCGTCAGTTTCGTCAGCTTCGGTTCAACGGTGCACTACTCCTGCGCGACGTCCGACTACTACTTTCACCTCGGTCTTCCAACAGATCAGCTGTACTCTTCCTCGAACTCTTCGTCTAACGGAGAAAGGCCAGCTTTAGAATGCGAGAAATCGTGCACCTGCAAGCCGGACAATGCGGGAACCAGATCGGCGCGAAGGTAAGTGAACTCTCTTATCGTTTGTTACCTGGGCGAATTTTACTCATCCGCGTTTCGGCTTCACACAATTCCTGTCCCTTCGCCGTTTCTTCGGGGAAGATTCTCGTGAACGAATCAGAGACAAGGCGTCGGCGGCGAGCAATAACTTGACTAATTGAAGTGTCTTGACTAGACTTTGAATTCGTCACTCAACCAGGGAACTCGAATTGAAAGTACCGCTCTCCGGCTCTCAAGCGAACGAGTGCGTTCTCCGCCGAATTCTCGGTTGCTATCCGGAATTTCCTTATTGTTCGCCCTCTTTTACTCGAACGTGTCGAGGTGATCCAGAGGAATTGCACCCGTTGATACTCTCGTTACACGTCTAAATGAACGATGCAATTTTTTTTGCATCGATCTTTCGGCTTTGCGGTTCGCGAGAGAGGAACGGATTTTGCGGCAGCCGAGCGTGAATCGCACACTTCTGCCAGCAACTTTGTATCGATGCGGCTTCCGTGATCGTCGCGTTCGACAATCGCATGGTTCTACACGAAATTTTCGAGACCCTTCTTCTCTCGTCACCCTCGACGCGCGTCTCGGCGCCGGGTCGTGTCAGAAGTATCACGATGGACGGATGACTATTAATAGAGGAGAGAGAAAATAGCGAGGGCGAGATAAATGGAGGACCAAGGGAGGATGAACTCGAGTCAGGGGGCAGAGGCTGCGATAATTTCGTGAACCTCTGCGTTTGGACCCCGCGTTGTCCTCTCCGAAGGGAATTCTTTGCCTCGTCGTCGTTCGTTCGAAGACGAGACAAAGGCATGAGAAAGAAAAGAGAAACGACGCCGCCAGTTACGTAGCGCGTAACGCTCTCTCATTGTTTGCGATGTTCGTTTCAGTTCTGGGAAGTGATCTCCGAGGAACACGGCATAGACCAGTCGGGGATCTACCACGGGGACAGCGATCTGCAGCTGGAGCGAATCTCGGTCTACTATAACGAAGCTTCTGGTGAGAAAGAACCTATTTGCGAGTTCGCGGGTCTCGCACTTGCCTTAAAATAGACGCGACCGCGGTCGCAGAAACGTCGCGCGTCGCGTCGCGAGAAAACGACCGACACGAAGAAATGAATGTCGGCGACCGAAATAACCGTCAGATTTCGCGTCCGGTGCCGCGATCGATTCGCTTACGCGTTTCCGTCGTCCTTATAGAGAGCCAGTGGTCGGCGATAGTCGTTTCACCGGAATGACAATACGATTCGAGCCCGTTTAATATGGGCGATCACGCGACGATACGCGCGGTTCGTCGTCGGTTTCGGACACTTCCGTCTTGGAACGTTTGTCCTCAGAGCCGAAATCGACGACGGACACACGTATCGTACGACGAACGGTGCTCGGACTCGGTTTCGTTTGATAGTAACCGCAGTAGAAATCGGCGAGCCTTGTATCATTCGCGTGTCGTTACAGTGGCGACTTCGACCAATGGAGGAAAGTACGTGCCGCGGGCCATTCTTCTGGACTTGGAGCCAGGAACAATGGACGCGGTTCGATCCGGAGCTTACGGGAAACTGTTCCGACCGGACAATTTCGTGTTCGGGCAATCGGGAGCGGGGAACAACTGGGCGAAGGGCCATTACACCGAGGGCGCTGAACTGGTCGACTCCGTTCTGGACGTGGTCAGGAAGGAATGCGAGAACTGCGACTGCCTACAAGGCTTTCAGCTGACTCATTCGCTCGGCGGCGGCACCGGATCCGGCATGGGCACGCTGCTCATCTCGAAGATCCGCGAGGAATACCCCGACAGAATTATGAACACGTACTCGGTGATGCCGTCGCCGAAAGTTTCAGACACCGTCGTAGAACCTTACAACGCCACCCTCTCCGTCCATCAGCTGGTCGAGAACACGGACGAGACTTACTGCATCGACAACGAAGCCCTTTACGATATTTGCTTCCGCACGCTCAAAGTATCGAATCCGAGTTACGGCGACCTGAATCATCTGGTCTCGCTGACCATGTCCGGCGTTACGACTTGTCTCAGGTTTCCCGGCCAGCTGAATGCCGACCTGCGGAAGCTGGCGGTGAACATGGTCCCGTTCCCTCGTCTCCACTTCTTCATGCCCGGATTTGCTCCATTGACCTCCAGGTCCATGCAACAGTATTCGGCGCTCTCGGTGCCTGAACTTACGCAGCAAATGTTCGATGCGAAGAACATGATGGCCGCCTGCGACCCGAGACACGGACGATACCTCACGGTGGCCGCCGTGTTCCGCGGTCGAATGTCGATGAAGGAAGTCGACGAGCAGATGCTCAGCGTCCAGAACAAGAACAGCTCGTACTTCGTCGAGTGGATCCCGAACAACGTGAAAACCGCCGTCTGCGACATCCCACCCAAGGGTCTGAAGATGTCCTCGACCTTTATCGGGAACACCACCGCCATTCAAGAATTGTTCAAGAGAATCTCGGAGCAGTTCACCGCGATGTTTCGTAGGAAGGCCTTCCTCCACTGGTACACGGGCGAGGGCATGGACGAGATGGAGTTCACCGAGGCCGAGTCGAACATGAACGATCTGGTCTCGGAGTACCAGCAGTACCAGGAGGCCACAGCCGAGGAAGATTTCGAGGCCGAGGAATGCGCCGACGATTTCGAAGCCTGCGAACAAGAGTAACGACCCTTGCGACTCGTCCTTTCCCTTTTCTACCCTCTCTTCCTCTTCTTCCGTACTTATGCGCAGAGCCTTGTTCGCGCGATCGGGAACAACGATCGCAAAGGGGTGAGTAACGTGAAGGCACGTATTTACTCGTATTGCACGCGTCCACGTGTACGTACGTATCGCGAAACGTATGACTCAGCGAGACGTTACGAGTGTGCGAACGAGCAGACGAGGGAAGATCGAGTGAATACGTGCCTTGACGAGTCGATCGAACACCAAAGCACAGAACCAAAAATCTAGCTTGTACGCGTGGCACACGTCTCACGATGTAGCGTAAGTTTGTCCCTTGCAGAAATATACAAGTGTTTTTCAAATTATCTGCTTCGTTTTATTTGTCCCAGTCCTCGTATTCCGTCGGTTCGTCGTCGAAGGTAGTCTCAGCCGTCACCTCCTGCTGGCGTTGATACTCGGTGATGAGGTCGTATATGACCGTTCGTGAGTCCACGAACTCCGTCTCCTCCATACCCTCGGCCGTGTACCAATGCACGTACGCTCTTCTCCTCAGCATCCCATCGAATCCCGCGGCCAGTCTCTTGAACGGTTCCTGAATCGCCGTCGTGTTCGATATCATGCTGGCGCTCATGCTGAGACCTCGCGGAGCGATGTCGCATATCGCGGTTTGAACGTTGTTCGGTATCCAGTCGACGAAGTACGAGCTGTTTCTATTGCGTATGGCGAGTATCTGCTCATCGACATGCTGCAAACGGAAAAAGATTGCGTTCGACTAGGAGTGATCCTACCGCTCCGACCGCGCGTCGTCCCGTTCGAGACTCGCGAAACAGAGGATCGCAGACCTTGGTCGACATTCTGCCTCTGAATATGGTGGCCACAGCGATGAACTTGCTCATCCTCGGATCGCAGTACACGAGCATGCTGTTCGCGTTGAACAGCTGCTGCGACAGTTCGGGGACGGAGAGTACCGTGTACGGTGCGGAGCTTCTGGACAGGAGAGGCGCGTATCCGGGAACGAAGAAGTGGATCCTCGGGTACGGGACCAGGTTCACGTGCAGCTTCCTCAGGTCCGTGTTCAACTGTCCCGGGAACCTGAAGCAAGTCGTGATGCCTGACATGCAGGCGGATATCAAGTGATTCACGTCGGTGAACGTCGGCGTGGACAGTTTGAGAACGCGGGTGCAGATGTGATACAACGCCCGATTGTCCACGCAGAAGGTCTGATCGGTGTGGTCGACAGCCTTGCTAAGCGACAGTATCGCGTTATACGGTTCGACCACGACGTCCGACATCTCGGCGCAAGGAATCACGCTGTACGTCTTCACGATCCTCTCCGGATACTCTTCCTTGAGTCGTTCCAACAGCAAAGAGCCCATTCCTCCACCTGTCCCGCCACTGAGCGAGTGAACGACTTGAATGCCTGCTCGATCGAACGGAACGAAACGGAGTCGAAGCGGTCCTCGTGCGTGCCATTCACGGATAGTAACCTTGCAAGAGATCGCACGCCTCGGCTTCCGCGCGGATTCGTTCCAGAGCGAAGCTGGACAATTCCGCTCCCTCTGTGTAATATCCCTTCGCCCAGTTGTTCGCCGCTCCCGTCAAGCCCGCTACTAGGTTGTCAGGATTGAACAACCTTCCACACGGACCGGACTGGGCGCTGCACAGGCTCCCCGGATCGAGATCCACCAGGATGGCTCTCGGAACATACCTGGCATCTGGAATAGAGCCGGATCTGCGCTAATCGAACATCGGCTTTCCGCGTGGTTACCTGGTCCATCGATAAAGTATACGTTCATCCGTTGCAGCTGAAGCTCGGAATCTCCCTCGAATTTCCCGATCGCGTTCAACCCATGCTCGTCCGAGATCACTTCCCAGAACTGAGAACGGTCGCGCGACGATTGTATCGGTTTTACAGAGTAAATTTAAGAACGCGTGCAAAGAGGGATACTCCGACGGTGGTAGACGCGAGTCATCATTTCCCACTGAGAATCTCCTCGAATGTTACCTTGCTACCGACGTTGTTTCCGCACTGGCCAATTTGCACGTGTACGATTTCACGCATATTCTCTCAGGGGTATTGCCAGATTCGAACGCCAGTAATTTTGACGGAATTGCCGAAAGGGTCGAAAGGAGTTAGGAGCGTGAAAAGTTTGCTTCGTTGTCCCATTGCGTCACGATGAGTCGAGGTACTATCGACTCGCGTCTTCGATCTCGACTCCCTTCGTTTCGTTACGAAGAGAGAAAGAGAAGACCGTTTACACATACACACGCTACAGTCACACGAGTTCAAAGTGCGAGACGTGAAATTTGATGTGCGAAAAAGAATATCTATTATAAATTCAACACGACAGATAATACAATTTTTCTAGATTACTTACATTACAAGATACGTATACACGTAGTGACGTGACCTGTTTCTTGTGTACACACGTGTAGTGACGCGTGTCGTCTATGTGTGGTATACACGAAATATCGCTTGTAAGATACTGTGGGAGCAGTTTCCAGGGTGTGTGTGTAGATACATGTAAAAACTGTTCGAAAAACGGTCGTAAAACGATGAATGTACAAGTGTGGTAGGAGAACAGTTCGTTTTGATACGGTACAAAAATGTAAAAGTTCGGTTGCCGGGAGCGGTGGCGATGTACTGGGAAGAATTTTGAATCGGCGGTCGATCTCCCGCGTGCTTCTCATTTCTCCATCTCTTCGTCCTCGTCGAATTCCGGCTCGGTTTCCGCGGTCGCTTCTTGGTACTGCTGGTACTCCGAGACCAGATCGTTCATGTTCGACTCGGCCTCGGTGAATTCCATCTCGTGCATACCCTCGCCGGTGTACCAGTGAAGAAAGGCCTTCCTCCTGAACATAGCTGTGAACTGTTCGGAGATCCGCTTGAACAGTTCCTGGATGGCGGTGGAATTGCCGATGAAGGTGGCGGACATCGCCAGGCCGCGGGGTGGGATGTCGCAGACGGCAGTCTTTACGTTGTTCGGGATCCATTCGACGAAGAACGCGCTGTTCTTGTTTTGAATGTTGAGCATCTGCTCGTCGACTTCCTTCATCGACATCCGACCGCGGAACACGGCGGCCACCGTGAGGTATCGTCCGTGTCTCGGATCACAGGCAGCCATCATGTTCTTCGAGTCGAACATCTGCTGGGTGAGCTCCGGCACGGAGAGCGCTCTGTACTGCTGGCTGCCGCGGGACGTGAGAGGCGCGAAGCCTGGCATGAAAAAGTGCAACCGCGGAAACGGGACCATGTTCACCGCCAGCTTCCTCAGGTCCGCGTTCAACTGGCCGGGGAACCTGAGGCAAGTGGTCACCCCCGACATCGTCGCCGACACCAGATGATTCAAGTCCCCGTACGTAGGCGTCGACAGTTTCAAGGTGCGGAAGCAGATGTCGTACAACGCCTCGTTGTCGATGCAGCAAACTTGATCGGTGTTCTCGACCAGCTGATGAACGGAGAGGGTCGCGTTGTACGGTTCGACCACGGTGTCAGAAACCTTCGGCGACGGCACCACGGAGAACGTCGTCATGATCCTGTCCGGGTACTCTTCGCGAATCTTCGAGATCAACAAGGTGCCCATCCCCGAACCTGTACCGCCGCCCAGGGAATGCGTTAGCTGGAATCCTTGCAGGCAGTCGCAGCTCTCGGCCTCCTTCCTGACCACGTCGAGGACGGAGTCGACTAGCTCCGCACCCTCAGTGTAGTGACCCTTCGCCCAGTTATTGCCAGCTCCGGACTGACCGAAGACGAAGTTGTCAGGTCGGAAAAGCTGTCCGAAGGGTCCCGAGCGAACGGAGTCCATCGTTCCCGGCTCCAAATCGACGAGGATCGCACGCGGAACATACTTATTGCCGGTCGCCTCGTTGTAGTAGACGTTGATCCTCTCCAGCTGCAGATCCGAGTCCCCGCAATAGGTACCGCTCGGATCGATGCCATGCTCGTCCGAGATCACCTCCCAAAACTGTGGCCGATCGCAAAACGTGAACGCGTAAACCGACTAGTCGCGACTACGAATTACTACGACAGTACTAGTGGACATTTAACAGCTCGAGATTGGCCACCTCCTCCGCGACGCGGCGAGTTCTGCCATTTACCGGGGCTACGAGACAAATCGAGAACGGTGCGAGATTCGCGTGACTGTCCGTGTTTCGCACTGACCTTGGCACCGATCTGGTTGCCGCACTGTCCGGCCTGGATGTGGACTATCTCCCGCATTATCGGATTGGCGACGACGACGACGACGACGAGACTGGGAAACGAGAGCGGAAAACTGTCAAAGAGAATTTTGATCCGCGCGGCCGCGAAGGTGGTCCCGTGGTTCGGTTGTCCAGGGACGAGGTACAGGCCCGTGGCTCCTCTGCTAGGTGGATACGTCTTCGCGGTCGCGTCGAGTCGAGTACTGTTTCCCGCAAACAGAAACAGCCGAACGTTCGTTTCTCCTTGGCGACTGTGCCCACTGCGACCCGCGCATCTTTCAATTTCGCGCGCTTTGCGTGCGAACAGCGAGCAGAATACCTAATACTCGTAGCACTTTGGTAGCGATTGTTGTTTACAATTATACATATACGACGATAACGACGAACGGCAGCGCGATAAAAATTGGCAGCGGAGAGCACGATTCACTGGGTCTTTCTTCGTTCGACGACGACCGACACGTCGAACTTCCCGGAACAGCCCGCCTGCTCCGCCTTGCCGTCGATCGTGCTCGAACACTGAACTGCGTGGGACCGCGAGTTATTGTCCGGTTCTCGATCCGCCGAAGCCGACGGCTCCTCCTGCGCCATCGACGACGGACGGTTTCCCGGCCGGCCGTTCACGAGATACCTCAATGGCACGGAGTCCGACTTGTCGTCCGAATCCGAATTTCCCTTCCTGAAAAATCACATCGTGCATCGTATGCGAACGACGACACCGCGAGGGGCGCGAGTTTGAACGAAATGAACTCACTTCGGTAAGATCGGGCAGGACCAGAGCTTGAAATCTGCCCCGAACATCTCGCCCTCCTCGATCGTCTGCGGCAAATGGATGTTGAGAGTCTCCGGCAGGAAGATGGACGTGAGAGCGCCGGCGACGCTCAGAGTGCCCATTATGATCAGCGGCAAGACCCTCGAGTACACGGCCAGGTGGACGATGTACGGGAAAGCGAGCAGACCGATGCCCGCGATGAACGAGGCGATTCCCATGGCCTGCGACCTCAGCACCGTCGGCAGCAGTTCCCCGACGAACACGTAGAACACCGCGAACGAGGCGGCGATACCGAACTTACCGATCATCGCCAGGGACACCGTCACCCATACGGCGTCTGCTGCGACAGAGGTTCGCCGTTTGTCAACTGATTCCGTGACGGAAGGATAAGGCCGAGTCGTTGCTTATTCGTAATATCGTCTTTAAGCATTTGCTATTCCTGTCTATCCTATGTTTCCAGTCCCTGCCTTGTACAGGAAACAGGGAGTGGAGCAAATGCTCAAGACGATATTAAGAATAAACAACGACTCTGAATACCGGCCTAAGACTACGCACCTTCGGGCACGAACATGCAGGAGACGCAGGCGACACCACCCAGAAGCATGGTCAGACACAGGACCCATCTACGTCCCAATCGGTCCATGGCGTACCATGTGATCACGTACGACGGGATCTCGACGAGACCACCTGCGAAACGACCGTGCTGTTCTTTCTACCGTTCGATTTTCTCGATCCAACGATCAGTAATTGCGCACGTTTACACGTTTCATTCTCTAAATATACGTTCCAAACGCGATCTAACGATAAACAAACGAATGAACAGACGATGGACGATGACGAAACGGAGGTCGAGCGTGCATCTTTGCGTATGCGCTGCGACGCGCGTGCCACGCGCGAAAATATGTGTGTACAAGTGTGACGCGTTGCTAGCGAAGGTCGACCAGCGAGAGGAGAATCGTTACCGATGAAGAAGGCTAGGTAATCGGAGACGCCGAGGTTCGTCGCGTTGTAGGATAGTCCGTTGTAGACGACCGCGTTCGCGACCCAGTCAAACGCTAGGATGAAGAACTTCTTCCTGATGTTCGGATTACGGACCAGATCCATCGGCGTGGCCGCCGGCGGTGGCGCCCGATTCTCCACGTCGGTTGTCTCCGCATTCTCGCTCGAGTTGGTTCCATTACAGGAGACTCCCTGCCTTCGCAGAATCTCCGCCTGGAACACGAATCAAACTCTCCCCTCTTTCTCTGTTCGCCATTACGCGCACCTCCGAACGATTACCGAACGGTGGCTCGTATACAGTATCTACCGTCTTCCCTTCGCGTGATTTTACCTCCATTTTACGGAGAAAATTATTCGGCACTGTCCTGCCGTTGATTTTAGCCATCCGCTGAACGATCACTTCCGCCTCGTCTATCCTGTTTTTGCTGAGTAGCCATCGCGGCGATTCCGGGATGATCCAATAGTAGCTGAAGAGGAGGACGAACGGAACCGAGGTGGCCAACGAGAGGGTGTACCAGTGTCTAAGTAAATAGCCCTGCAAGAGAGAGAGAGAAACGCGTGGTGTCCTACGAGTTATCTGGAGATTTACAGATGTAGAGATACTGGAGATCGAACTAAACAACGATGGACGTTACCAGCAAGGCCAGGAGAGACATCGCCGATGCGAAAAACATGCAAATCACCATTCCCGCGAACGTTCTGTACCTCGGGCCCATCATCTCCAGAGCTGAAATCAACCAACGGACACGGTTGGATCGAACGCGTGAGCGTCAAGGATCAAGACACGTCGTGAATTCATCGTACAAACGTTACAACGACAATAAATTGTAATTATTAACGGCTCGACATGTCCTAAGAGTCATCAGAAGAGACGTATATTTTACATCGTCGTCATACAACGCGCGACGTTTTAAGGATGTATAGACTATATACTCAAACGATGCTAGCATATTGAATTTGTTATTATAGACTCCTTTTATTATTAAAAAGCTATCTGTAAAGTTGTATACGACCTGTCTCGCAGGTAATAGCAGTACCTACAACTTTTATTTCAAGAATTTTTCGATATCTACAGAAATTTTTTTTTTCAATTTTTTCGAGATTTTTCCCTTCAGATTTTGCGAAATTTTCGTTTTTTGACAATAACTCCCAAACCGTTGGACTTACGGGAAAATTGCATATGACCTTTTTTGTAGAGGACGACGAGAT